TCATGCAGGTGGGGAATTAAGGAACCAACTAAACGATGCACATTAATTATGCTAAATCTTAATCAACCATTTAATGGAATCTGCGTGAACCACAAAACTTTTCCTTCTTCAACTCTCATATCACTCAAGACGGCAAATGAAGTATAGTAGTAAGCATAACTGTGCACATCAAAAATATCACCGAGGCCTGTCATGCACGTTCTGACGTAGGCCACATGTACATGTATGTACAGTGTACATGTTTATATGTACATGCATGTATATGTTTATGTACATGTTATGTACATGTTATGTACAGTTCATGTACGACACACAATACAGGGCCTGCATGCATAGTGGACTAATGGACTCATGGCTGCACCACGTATCACATGTAATTTATCCAGAATATACCGATTGGTCTGCACGCATTCTGATTGAATGGAAGCCAGGCGCCTTCATAAATATTCATCACCAATATGGCTCAAAAATCGCAAGGTGACGGTTATGCGTGTGGAATGTGTAAACGATTCAACCACAACTTCGCAAGTGCAATTTTCGAAGGGTGATTTTGGCACGATAGCATACCACCTGTACATTGATGCAAAGTTTTTACAGAAAAGTAGGCAATAAATAAAATAAATTTGTACTTAATGTTGTAGTGGAATGAACAAATAACGGGAATCTTAATGTGCACTGCGTAGTGCGAAAGTAATACTGACCTTACCGGTGTGCGTGATCCAGCAGTCTGCTCGATACATGCGATAATGATGCATTCGCTGTAGAATATACGTAGACACTATCCAGACGGCGCACGGCGAACAAAGACGGATGAACAATGGCTTCCTACCCTAAAATCACGCTTAAACGATGAGGCGCGGCACAAAAATACACAGTATGAATCCCCTGGAATCACTAGATCAAACTAGATAAGAAAATCGGCAAATGGTTCAAGATAATTCGAGATTTAACCCAGCGAATTAATGGTATACCATCCACTAAGCACGTAATGCCCTCGCCCTAACGCGAATCAGACATTTTTTTTCAAACCCTCCTTTTAACTACTTAGGTTGCTAGAAATTACTCTGCGTGTGGCGTGTAGGGCACATCACACACATACAGACGCATAGACCGCCAGGTCCTATTCAAAACTGCAGCGGGTTTTCGTGATCTGCGTGGCGCCCGACTAAAATCAAAACTGTGGGCAAATTCACCCCTCGGTGTAGGGAATTTACGCACAGTTTAATTCCAGTCATAAAATTCTATGAAGCTATTTTTCGATTGTAAAAACCCTTCTCTTTATTTAATCTGGTCCATAGGGATTCAAAACGATGCGGTTGCAACATTTGAAAAGAATAGCCAGCAGTATACCGAAGAGCAAATAAGGTGAACGTATTTGGAAGCACATTTTACATGTACATGTAAACAAATACAAGCAATGTAATTGCGTTGCGCGTAATGCGCACTGGACGCGCTGCCATCCGTCGCTTCGCTCGTTGTTTTAAAAATCACGGTTTTACGCTCAAGACCGGCGGTCTATGCGTTTATATGCCTGTGGTGTACGTACGCCGCGCAACTTGAAAGTGCCCCCATACGTACCCGTAAGCAGAAAGTTGTGCATCACGCGTGAGCATGCAGTGCGCGCTGATATTTGCGTTTTACAGTCATGCTTTTTACCTCCGACGCATCCTTTTTCTTTTAAGAAGGAATGAATACCACATACGTACGTGTACATGGAACACCAGCAATGGGATTTCTTCATGTTTTTTTTTGTTTTTTTACAATTGACAACAAAATTTAAAAACCACAAACCCACTGTTGATCTATAGAACTTAATTTATTTTCCTCGGAAAGCTCTATCTTTTTTCCTCGTTATATGACGAAATACATTTTTGTCAGATGCAATAATGTGCCCCCCCCTCCTCCCATAACCATGTTAACGCTTCGTACGATATCGACGACGACCACTTACATTTACCAGCGGCGCGCGCGGCCGCAGCAGCGGCTCTTGCTCTGTGTCTTTGGTCTGTCTAATTCTGTTGATTTTGCAAATTAGCAGTGTTTAAAAATACAATTAAAAATAAAAGGCACTGTTGCAATTACCTAACAAATGTGTATTTCTAATTATGACCCATCTTTGAAGTATAGAGATAACTTTCATTGTTAAAGCCATCACAAACAGTGTTCACAAAAAATCGTTCTTATTTTAGTCATATTTGTTCGATGTCTATTCCGCTGCGCATGCGTTGATCTCAGTCAGTACGCGGCACTAGCTCTGGAGCTATAGTGAGATCAGTGGTACGCGGTATACGCAGCCTAGCGGTACGGTACGCGTACGATATACATGTGTGAGTTGCAGTGGTAGTGATATTGGAGCTGGGAAAAATTCCACAACTTCCAGTGCTGGCAGTGGTTATCAGAGGGTAAAAGGTGAATATATTTTGTTCTGATTTCCGTTATGTAGCAGTCAAAAATATGTAGTTCATCCTTTTTCTTAGAATTCGTTGGAATCATGCAGTCTACATCTTTCTTTACACTGTCAATGGCCAGGCAGTGTGTCATGGCCGTGTCTGAAATTACAACGCGATCTTTGATTACAACATGGCCGAGGCGGCAGGCCTAGACCCGTAAACAGGGCCCGACGAATACTTCTCCGCCGTATACTGGGCCCTGTCCCGATTCATAGGGATTTCTTTCGAACAGTTTATCCGGGGTATCTGGGGGCATAACTAAACACCTACTTGATTTTATGAGCTGAAATTGCACCGTTACGGCTCCGGTATGTTCACTTCCAGCTTACCAGCTTAAGTTACAGTTACAGGGTAAAATTTCCGCTTGGTGGCTAATGAAAATGTTGCCTTTTTTGCCCTTTTCCTCTCTTGACAAATTGACTTGTTCATTACACAGACTGATTTTGGGTCATCTCGTACCCTGGGTTAACTTATACCCGGGTCACCTCGTACCCGGGTCAAGTCATACCCAAGTTAACTCGTACCCAAGTTTACTCGTACCCCCTTTCATTAGTCAGTACAAGTGATTGGATTTCAACAGATATTTTTTTTACTCAGAATTAGTTTCAGAATATAAGGCAGCACGAACATACCCTGTGATTGCCGGTGAAAACAACGGTAACGACTTAGTGATTTTTATTACGAGAAAATTTGTAAAAATATATTTCAAATAATTTTTAAATACTTTATTAAACATAAAAAACCAAAAATTATTTATTTTTTATTCTTAGCAGGTAAAGCATATCTCTTTTTTGGAAAATGTGGTGGCCCTGAAAAGGGCCGTTTGGTTTGATAGTGGTTGCCCTGAAAAGGACCGTTTGGTTTGGTTGGCCTACACTGTGCGGGACCATTCCGGTGCTGGCGTGGCTGCAGTTGCACTTCATAGAGCAGCAATAGAAATTGTGGATTCTCCTGAGACTACCCAAGCGGGAAGGTTGATAGCCAGCCCCCAAATAGCCCCTCTTTCAAATTTTATTGCAAAAAGAAGTTACTCAAAACATTTACAGTCATAAACAGCACGTCATTAATACATTTATTTTACTGGCCGGTGTGCCCCCCAGTCGTACAGTACTATCGCAAACTGTACTACAAAGTTTGTGATAGAACTGTACGGCTGGAAGCGCTCGGGTTAGTATTTTACCAATTTACAAAGAAAAGAAGTCACTGAAATTATTGCATGCCAAAAGCTGCAATTTCAGTTGTGTCTGTTTCCATTTTCTTCATGCTTATACTGCACGCTGTACTTATATTCAAGTTTGTTTTCCAACAACGTTCTCCCGCAGTGCTCAACGTCTGCAGCATAACCCGCTCTGATGTACAGTGTGACCATTGGCATAAAAACTTCACAGGATCCCACTAAAAAAAAGAGAAAAATATGGGGATGGCAGTAACAACTCAACAAATGATGTTCTTTCATATTCATTATCTTAATTTAATATTCCCAACAATACAAGTCAACAGAGCAGAAAATATGGGAACATGCCCTCATTCCTCTTTCGTCATTCGCGACTGGGAAAAATGCTTCCATTGGTTAGATTCAGTGTGGAAATTCAGAGGGTACGAGTAAACTTGGGTACGAGTTAACTTGGGTATGACTTGATGTGGGTATGACTTGACTCGGATACGACTTAACTTGAGTGTAAATTTTGGGGTATGAGTTGACTCGAGTACGAGTTGACCTGTTACGCACAGACTGCTTTGTATGGTTAAGTAATGGTAGCCTGTACGAGCACCTGTCTAGTTTGCACCCAGACTTCAGCACCTGAATTTCGTTCAGATCTGCGAGAGAACCTGTCAATCTAAGTTCCCGTGGAAAATCACGGCTGTTTGGTGTTGCAGCTAATGCACAACGCCCTTGGCTGGTCCCCTGTCCAGTCACACACAGCTTGCAGCAAATCATTGGTAGCATGGATTGCTCTCTGTGACATGACACGAAAGTGACGAAACAGCTGTCAGTTTTGTCCAAATGGGACAAATTTCGTCTGGAGTGGTAAAACGGCAAAAAAGGCAACCTTTTTTCCTCCGAACAAGAAAACGGCGAGTTTTCTACAATTAGCCACTTAGCGGAAAGTTTACCCTGTAAGTAGTGAACGTACCAGTCAGTGCAATTTCAGCTCATAAAATCAAGCGGATGTTTAGTTGTGCCCCTGGATATTCTGGATAAAACTTTTCGAAAGAAATCCCTATGAATCGAAACAGGGCCCAGTATATGACAGAGGAGTATTCGTCGGGCCCTGTTTACGGGTCTAGCCTAGGCCTACGTGGTTGTACTAGGCCTATACTGAATTCGTGTCCAGAATAGAAATTCTCTATATCGAGGAGTGAATTCGTCCATAGTTATGATTTTAGTCGGGTGCCGTGCAGATCAAGCAAAACCCCAGTAGTTTTGAATGGGACCTGGTGGTCTATGCGTTTATATGTCTGTGATAGAAACAGAGCAAAATGAGACAGAAATAGCGCCGCCTGTTGTTGACTCTCGGGAAGAGGTTGGCCTCCGTAGATAATGACCGGCAGTTCATTTTCAGTACATGTTCCACTTTAATGATGGTATGTCTTTTATCAACAGAAGGATATTAGACAGCAGCCATGGCAACCCTGAAAGTCAGTAAGTTACCCATGAACGTACAAATGTACATACCCTAACTTTTGTACAAGAACTGGAGATAGAGGCAGTATTTTGTCAACTGACCATTAAAATTGGAAGTTTATACATGTATTCATGCTACATGTAGATAAGGTTTATACATGTACCTTTCTGGTTGGTAGACCCTGAGATTAAAACAACCAGTCTATTCATGAACTTCAAAAAGTTTTCTTGGTAAAAAAGTAAAACAGCTAGACCGTTTTTGAAAGTTTTGGACAAATTAAATGTTTTTGGACAAAACTCTTAATCTTTTAAACTTTGTGAATCACACATAGTGTGAGCTTATTTCAAGTACATACTGACATAACATTCACACTCAGGGTTGTCCAGTGTATGTCATGTACTGAGCATGACCTTTGATGGTGGCAGTCTTTCCATGCTGGAACATGAACATACACATGGACATGAACATGTATATAATGGATTTGCATCACCACTGAGTTGATAGTAACAAGTAGGCGCAGCCCTACCTCATAATAGATATTATTTGGAGCCTGCTTTACATGCAACTTGTCAACGTAAGGACTGTTTATTTGTCCCCTTCAGTCCAGACTAGGCTGAAATCCATCAAGAATATCCAGAAGATTACCAAGTCCATGAAGATGATAGCCGCAGCCCGTTATGCTAAGGCAGAGAAGGAGCTCAAACCAGCCAGATCGTATGGAGTCGGGGCTACAGGTCAGGAGGATAACACACCTTAAAATCCGAGGAAAAGTTGCTTAAACTTGGTTAATTGCTGAATTGACTGTACATTCTATGTCAGTGTCCAAGTTGTCAGTCACCATCAATGCTGTGTGAAGCTTTACCAACTCACTGCTTACTTCTATGCAAGACTGACATAAGAATTATGAAAGCAACATTTCAATTTGACAGGGCACAAGAAGAATCCTCAAAAGGAGGTAAAATGTGTCCATATTCAATGGTCTAGCAGATGGTGGGAACACACATCACCTGTTGGTGCTGATGATTTTGCAGTGTTTTTATTTCCAGTCACAGGCACCTTTTTTACTATGCTTATTTCTAAGCAAAATTAGTGTAACAGCCACGTTAACTGGAGATTCATTTTGTCAAGCAAACTTTCATTCAATATTGTCAGTATCATTACTGATTGTTGGAACACAAATTTGTCCCCACAGTCACTCTCATTTTTAACACGTAACATTCATAACTGCATTACCTGTGTCTGTGAATTCACGCTTTCAAGGAAATATCTTGTATGTTGTATTGCCAGTTAGAATTGGGATTGGAACAGTAGATTGCTACAAGTATTCCAAGGTTTTGAGATGCATTGCACCAGCAGTGATTCCTTTGTTTTCTTCCTGACGTCCCACAGCTTTGTATGAGAAGGCGGAGCTTGAGCCTGACACAGAGAAGCCTGAGCATCTCCTGATTGCAATCTCCAGCGATCGGGGTCTCTGTGGTGGCATCCACAGCAGTATCACCAAAGCCATTCGGGCCTCAGTCGACCAGAAACTTGAAGGGATCAACTCCAGGATTGTTTGTGTCGGCGACAAAGTTCGTTCTCAGCTGTCCAGGTGTTGATCTTAAGCCTGATTACCATATTGATCTAAAGAGACAGAGTATTGTTGATTAGTCCTAATGCTATGCAATCTGTGCAAACACTTTATTGTGTCTCGACACAGACATTTGGAAAGTCAGTTTATGTTTATTTTGATGTCTGTACACATCAAATTGCCAGAGTATGTTCATACAAACATGGACCCTGGAATGACAGGTGTTTAACAATGTCCCTCTGGCTCTGAACCACTCATTTTGCCCATTTTTCTCTCTGAAACTGAAAAAGGACACCCCAATTGTCAACAAAGTAGCTGACCATAAACTAAACACATCAAAGCGGGATACCATACCGTAAGGGAACAATATTTCTAATTGGCATCTACCACAGCTGAGTATAAATCATTAAGAAGTGATAAGGCCCAGAATGCAACTGCAGCTGTACTTTGATACCCATTTCTTACTGTCTGATACAGGTCACACAAAGAGAATGTAGCTCTGTCCGTGAATGAGTATGGGCGGAAGCCCCCAACCTTTGTCGAAGCATCCAAAATTGCACAGGAGATCTTGAATCTTGGCGAATTTGACTCTGGAGAAATTTACTTCAATAAATTCAGGTTAGTAACACATGTCCATTCTCCCATTTTTCGGTTGGTATAGTAGATTCCTGTTATAGTGCTCTCAAGGGGACCTAACAGAATTGAGCTTTATCAGCGCACCACGCTATAACTGACTGAATGGACACGCAACATGTGCAAAACACATGTGCAAATGTACTTCTATGTACATGTCAAGATACATGTATCTACATGTACATGTATGTGAATTTCATTTATATGTTTGGCAGATGTGTGTACCATAATTTTCGGAGTATATGCGTTGTATTCGTTTCTGTTGACGTTTTCATGATGCCAATAAAAAAACCCACCAAATCTCTTCAAAAACTGCCATGGGACTACGCAGCGCGGCACACGCACTGCATCTACACCCACCGTGACATCCTGACTGCTACTGCATATCCGTTCATGGACAGTCAAATTGCTGACTTTTCCCAATAATCATGTGGCCACAGAAAGTGATATGTCATTAGAAAACCCAAGGGAAAAAAGATCTGACATGTCACGCCGAACACAATCGGTGAAAAGATGAGATTTGCTGCACAAAGATACACGTACAATTTAAGCGGCTGATTTTATTTCTTGGTAGAAAGAAACCTTTAGGTAACAAAAACTACATGTAGTATCTCAATGTTGATTATTTGTGTGCCAAACTACACCAAACTACACCATGAGAATAAATAAAAAGTGGGAAAATAATCACTACAATGTCACCACAGCAAAACCATGCAGGCCAGTGCGTGTCTGCAGTCTGTGTGATCACTAAACTACTGGTGTCCAGGATGGCCGGCCAATCGCGGTGGCCTTGTAATGCAGTTTCGTGTGTGTTGATTTTCAAAGAATCTGACTTTGCAAGGTAAAGAGCGCTGTAACTGGAATCGTTTCACATGCTTTATATAGTTCTCAGGGCTGAAAATCGTGAGCATTATATCCCCAAAAGTGTTAAAAACAGGAGTGCTAAAACCACATAAAAATGTACATGGTGAATGGGCTTGCAGTTGGGGAAATGAAAATAGAGCGTTATATCAGAAAGAGCATTTATCAGAGAGCACTATAACAGGAATCTACTGTATTAAGTGTTGCCTATATATTTCATGTAATTAATTCCAGTTGCATCATTGCATGTACTTGTATTCTAGATCTGATATTTTCTTTATTTTTTATGTATGGTGTAGATCTGTTGTTTCATATCGTACAACCACACAGCCTCTGGTGTCATTTGAGACTCTTAAAGGAGCAGGTAAGCTGATTTAATTATGAACATGAATTTCATCATAATACCATGCAAAACAAGCTCACTTTCAATATGAGGAGTGAATTTGTTAAACAAAATTCGTGCTATTTTGACAAGTTTTGGAAATGTAGAATCAACAAAAATAAAATGGGTAAATTTAATCATTGAACAAAAAACCCTGGTCAGCTGCCATGATATTAAGATTACAAAGTCACAGTCAGTCTTGTTACTTGGAGAGCAAGGCTTCTTCTTTTGAATGGGAACACATTATGCTCTAGGGCTTTTGCGCTGACTTGAAGCCAGTTCGCTGGAGGTGAATGTGAAGCAAACGTAGTTTGACATGAAACAGTGAAATTTGCTGGAGTTGAAACTTATATGAATTTGCAGTTTATGTACAAATATTTGATCTGATATCACAAAATTTGCTTTCACACCAAGTCAAATCAGGCATTTAGGCTTTGGTGAAAGTGCATGTAAGTGCAAAGAATGCACTCCTGCAAAGATCCAAAATTCTGGAAATATTCTGCAAATTAGTTCACATAACCAGATCCCTTTTTATGTGTATGTGTTTTCCTCTTTTACATGTATGTCTTTATGTTGATGTCTCTGGTCATTATTAGCATTCCAGTGAAGCACAATTTTCTGTTTGGCAGTTGCTAGGCTCACACAGCAGTGGCTGGTCCATTTTGGCACTCACACAGCAGTGGCTGGTCTGTTTTGGCACTCACACAGCAGTGGCTGGTCCATTTTGGCACTCACACAGCAGTGGCTAGTCCGTTTTGGCACTCA